CAAAATTAAAAGCATGCTACAACATTGGAAGAGAAGAATTCTAACACTAATCGGTCGAGTTATTGTGGTAAAGTCTTTAATTATTCCAAAAATTAATCATTTGTTCATATCACTCATTACTCCAGAAGGGGAGATAATCTCATCATTATGCAAAGATATTTTTGAATTTATTTGGAATGCAAAATGTGATAAAATTAAACGTACGGTTTTAATTCAAGATTATCAGCATAGGGGTTTAAAAATGGTGGAAAATAGCAATTTTATTATGTCTTTGAAACGTTTTTGGCTGAAAAGGCTAATAGCAGGTAATAAACCTTGGGTAGATATTTCTGAAGCTATAAATGGTACCGATTTTGTTCATAAATTACTTGATTTTGGTGATGCATTTATCTCTGAATGTGTTATCCCCCAAAACAACTTTTTTTGGCAAGATGTTTTAAGTCTATGCTTCATGTTATTAAATCTTTTGATAGTAAATTCTACATTGAAAATTTTCCTAGCATACCAGTGTGGTACAATGCAAATATTAGGGTTGGTACAAAAACACTGATTATAAAAAGTTGGTAAGAAAAGGGTGTGAAACTTATTAATGATTTTTTTAGATGAGGAAAAACAATTTCTACCGCATGTCATTTTTCATCAAGAATTTGGTATTAAAGTATCCATCATGCAATATAACAGTGTAATGAGTGCAATATCAAAATATATGAAGTCTTTTGTAAACAAAGGTTTATTTAAAAGATCTCCTACTCCATATATTCCATTGTATTATAAATCTTTTCTTTTGCAAAATGGATGTACTAAAACTATATACAAACAGTTAAATGCAAATACTATTATTCCTACTTCTGTACGGAAATGGAATTTAGAGCTCAGCCATTATGGTATAGAGGTTTGTGTTCAGGATTTTTTAATGTTTGTTTTAAGACTACCAAAGACTCTTCAATCCAATGGTTACAATATAGAATTCTCCATAGAATTTTACCTGTTAATTATTACTTGAAAAAAAATCAATGCTGTATCATCTGATAGCTGTTGAGACAATTCAACATATTTTTATCAATTGTGAAAAGGTATCCCCACTATGGAGTGATCTTAGCATGCATATTTATCAAATAACTTAAAAAACAATTGGTTTTATTGTAATTAACATTTTATTAGACGAACTTCCGTTGTGTAAAGGTAATAAAGATGTAAATTTATACAAAACAATATATTTTTTCTTGTCTAAAAAAAGGCAAACTGCCAAACTTCCTGGAACTTCTCTTTCTCTTGTACAATAAATATAGGGTTGAAAAATGTATTGCAAGCCAGAATTTGGAAATGCAAAAGTTTAATAATACCTGGCAAAATTGGAAATGTTTATTTGACAATGTTAATAAGTCATAACCTGTTACAATACATGTATGTAAGACTTTTTATTATTATTATTTTTTTTGTATCCTTATATTGACCTGTTGATGTATTCTTTTTTTTATCATTCTGTTTAAATATAAGAACAAGTATGCTTCCACATATCAACATGAATAAGTGTGAGTGAGAAAGTGAGAGCGAATGGTGTGTAAAAAAGTTGTGTGTATTAAGATGAAAAAATAAAAATAAAAAAAGAAAAAACTTTTAAAAATGATTTTTAATTGGTGAGAGCTTAAAATGTGTATGTCTGGATTCTTAACTGATAAATATTCATGAGTTTTAATTAACAAGAGGCCCATGGGCCACATCGCTCACCTGAGCACATTTGCTAGGAAGAAGCAGAAATCAGCTCAGCATTGAAAATGAGGGAGGGAGGGGGACAAACTTAAACACTACCTCAGCATGCTTCTATATCAATATTACTAATCATGGCTTTGCTGTTCAGAAGCAAACAAAAAAACTTTAAAGATGTTTTCCCCTATGTGTTCCTATGTAAAATTCTGATCACTCATTGTGGTCCCACCCTACCCACCCTAAATTTGAACATATTTGAATCTACACTACCAGAGAATGCTTTTATAATAATATGATTAATCATGGCTTTGCTGTTCTTGAGCAGAAAATTATTTTTCAGGATGATTCCTATATATTCTGATGTAAAACTTTGATCCTCTTTTGTAACCCCCCACCCCCACCCCACCCACCCCCTGGGGTCATTATTTGAACAACTATGATTCTACATTATATAAGGTTGCTTCTATACAAATATGACTAATAACGGCTTGAGAAGAAGATTTTAAAGTGTTTCATATGTAACTTATATGATCAGATTCTTACAAGAGATATATAGGTTTTCCTCTTACTCCGTCTGAGTACAACAAATCCCTAGGATACTTGCCACTGGTGTTTATAACTTTTATACTTTTATTTTGCTCTTACCCTTAAGGTTTTTCATCCTCTATCCTTAAATGTCCATCACATACATAATACTCTGATATTAATTTCAAGTGTTTTAGAGTAGAAAAGGATTTACCAAGAGAAAGTTTCAAAATGTAAATAAATAAGCAGTTATTAATTAACAAAAATTGCATTGACGTCTATGTGGACGAGCAATCTTTTGAAAATAAAATTTCAAATAATAAGAATATCAAAAAAAAAAAAAAAAAAAAAAAAAAAAAAAAAAATTATGTGGTTGAAAGATGCATTAAAACACATTTGAATAGAATGGCAATTGAAAACGACTATTTTTAACCAGTTGATTTTCAAAAAAAAAAATCAATTAAAAACGGAAGGAGATAACTCTTACCAAAATTCAAGGTCATATATTAGGACACATCCCACCCTAACATGCTAATAGTAATAAATGGGGAATATGTCTAAATCTACTGAGTATTCAACACCTACACATCTGTAATGTACTCTAGTTCATTGAGTCTGTTGCTATTAGCGATGGAGTACCTTAACTTCTTTCTTGCCGATTCAACATCCAACTTCTTTTGCTAGCTTTTGAATACCTGACTTTCCCAACGCTTTGCCTTATATACCCATTGGTTTGGCTAGTCCATTCCAAGGGTTGTCAGGTCATTTCACTATTGGAGTCTTCAATGCGTTTTACTCAAATGGCCTGAACCATTATAGGCCCTTAACTATTACACCTATATATTCTTATGTAAAACTTTGACCTTCTGTTGTTGCCCTACCTCCAGGGGCCATGATTTGAACAAACTTGAATCAAAACTACCTGAGGGTACTTCTGTTTTGACTATGGCTTTGCTGTTCTCGAGAAGAAGATTTTTAAAGACATTTCCTAAATATTCCTGTGTAAAACTTCGACCTCCTCTTGTAGCCCCACCCTACCCCAGGGGGTAATGATATGAACAAACTTGAATCTAGAGTATTAATGATCTTCAACACTAGCCATGACGTCATAGCCTACTCCACTGCGTTACGAAGGCTATGCAGCGGCTGTAGACATTGTGACTGTTGCATTACGGGAGTAGGTATCTATCATAAACAATATGGCGATACATTAAACAAAAGTAAGTGCCATTAACATAACAAAGTAAATATTTATGAAATGAGAGAAATTTAAAAGAAAGATTTCATTGGTAATTTATAAGCAACAATGTATTAATTATTGTAAGTGATTTAGAAAAGTTTTTAATAAATATTGTCGGAAAACCATGTTGGTATGCCAGCTTGAACTTTCTTATTCGGAGAAGTATATTCCCCAAAGAATGTGAGTAAACATAAATAAAAATAGGTTGAACTTAACAAAAACCACATTGTTTTTATATCTATATTACACTATCGCACCACGATGAAACATAATTATTGCGTGATTAATAAGAATAAAGATAAAGAGAATATAAATTCAGCCACCAAAGGATTGCTAAAAATAATCAGCATTGTTTGTTTATTTAACGTCCCTCTCGGGAATTTTTCACTCATATGGAGATGCCACCACTTGCCGGAGGAGAGCTGCAAATTTTGACCTATGCTCGGCACTTAGGGTTGAGCAGTGAGGGATCTTTTTTGTGCAAGCACCTACTGCGACACGGGACCTCGGTTTTTAACGGTCTCATCCGAAGGACTGGTCTCCACGTCCCACAGTGGGATTCGAACCCGGGAGGTAAGGATCAATTCCTTACTCCTCGACCCTAGAGCGAACGTCCTACCGCGGGCGACTAATCAGCATTGATATTGTAGCATAATAAGTTATATGTACTAAACATTATGAGTTTTAAAATCTTATGTGATAGATCAACTAGGTGAGATATTTTTAAGTAAATATCAGTAGATTTAAGCATCTTATATTATGTTATCCATCTTATTTTATCCCTCCAAGGGTACTATATACTTTCCGATCCTTTTCAGAGAAATCTGTACGCAGTAGTCGTCACTCTCATTTCGTGCAGATTTCCTGAGGGTTATAAGAAAAAATATATGTTAATCACAAAAATTTATTCATAAGTATTAGATATAAAAAGAACATTGTCCTTCAGTGTGTGCGATTTGTTTATCTTTTTACGTATATTTTTTAGAGGGAAATTGTTCATATTGACAATATTCTTGATAAAGCTATTAGAGTTTGCTTTTCTTTGAAATTTTGCTTTCATAAATCTAGGGACAAGATTGGCTAACGTCCCATTTTCGCCTCTGGTTTAGTAGGCCTCCAAGATTAGCTCTGTAATTTGAAAATTAAAAACTGTTGTGATATTTTTAATAAATGTGGCATGTCAATTAACTCAGTGTGACATAATTGTTCTACGAACGGCAAGCATCAGTAAATCATGTGCAATGACAGATAAGCGGCCATTTCGGTAGTGTTAAATCCCCGTAGACTTTGAATTTGCTGCCGTGTCACTAAACTACCTTAACTTGGGGATTAATGACAAAGTATTAACCTATCAGTAATTAAAACATAGATCTTTTGATTGACCCTAGTTTGTAGTTGAAAGCGCAAGGTCCTTGATACTGTGTTACAGGCTTTAAAGTTTACAAACTTATTTTTTAAGGAACCGTCATTATAATCTATCATTCAATTTTAGCTGATTGTGTCCATAAAGACATAGATCCTCGACATCATGGGTTCAATATTTAGCAAACGGTGTGACATACGACAGTGCTCCAAATGTCAGAAAAGCACAGAATTCTACTGTAACACGTGTAAACGTAACTTGTGTCTTAAGTGCAAAGAAAGACATTTTTTTGATTTAGATACAGTTAACCATGACGTTGTGATCAACCAAGAAAAATGTGAAACATGTGAGACATGTGAAATACATCCGGACAGATTCTATGAAACCTTTTGTCATTCATGTAAACTTCCTGCCTGTTTCCAATGTACAGAACACAGAAATCACAGACTAGCGGATATCATAACATCTTATAAATCAAAGCGTCAACAACACAATGAAATTATTTGCAACATCAGAAGTGAAACTCTCTATAACAGCCATTGTCTCTTGGCAGGAATCAAAAATGATATACAAAAAAGTCACAGAGGAATCTTCAACCCACAATCAGAGATGTCAACAAAAGCAAAGAAAATAAAGGACCTCACTGATACTGTCATCTGCGATAATAATAAACTCTTGATCACAATTAAATGTTCTATGATTCATAGATTACAACAACAGATCAGAAATATTAACAAGCACATTGGCAGCATAGAAAACTTTGAACATAATTTTATAAAGTCAGCAAACAGATATAGACCAATAGAATTTCTCTTATTTCTAAAAAAATACCCGTGTACCGAATATAAAAGCATCGCCTCTTCATTAAAAAAAACCCTGTTGTCAATGACTGAGAAAATCAACAAAGAGAATATGATTAGATTACTTTGTGAAATCCAAATCATAGAGACAGGGCAAAGACAAGTAAGAAATGAATGTCTGTTTAAATTGATGTCTACACCCGTATTGCATAAATCTATCGAAGTAAGTGTTACTGGTGCATGGCACATTTCTTGTGTAAATTCAGAACAGGTCTGGATTAGTGATCCCTCGATAAACGATTGTATCTTGACAAACAAAAAAGGTAAATCCCTCCAACGTTTGATCGACATATCACTTGATACTTTCAGTTATGGAGCACACACGGTTAACATTACCGGTGATCTCATCTATATAGACAAAGGCTATAACATTAAAAAACTTTCTTACAATGACAGAAAAAAGTTTACACTGATAAAGACAAAAGCACCATGGAGACCTTTCTGTGTCTACAGCTCCCCCTTCACTGCAGACCTGCTGGTCGGGATGATGAATACTGATACAGAGACAGGCAAGGTGAACCGTTACAATAACACAGGACAACACATACAGACCATACAGTACGGCAACACAGGTCAGGAAATGTATAGTGAACCTAGATACATCACAGAAAACCGCAATGGAGATGTTATTGTGTCTGACTTTGGCAGTGATGCTGTAGTGGTGACAGAGTATGGGGGGAGACATCGCTTCTCCTACACAGGACACCCATCAGGATCAGGACTATCACCACTTGGAATCTGTACTGACGCGCTGTCACACATCATTGTGTGTGGTTTTAAGACCAGAACAGTACAGATGATTGACAAGAATGGAAATTTCTTGAAAATTATACTGAAAGGACAAATAGACGAACCGCTGAGCCTTTGTTACGATTGGAAAACTCATCTTCTCTGGGTTGAATCATGGAACGACAAAGTGTGTATATACAGATATATAAATAAACATGTTATTGACAATCCGACAGATGAATGAAAATGGAATTTAGTAAACGACCTACATGTCACATGCGTACAGACAAAGTAATAACTGACAGGCATAACAGTTATCAGAAATCAGATTTTTAATGACAACAAACAGAAACACTGTAAAGCATTTGACCGACAAAATTAATAAAGCAACACATACATATACTTAAATGACAAACATACACAAATAAGATAGTTAAAATTATAATAGCATAGAGACCATCTGTCATGATTTACTCATAGAAACAGACTTGCACTGCGATTGAACTAAAGATACAAATAACCATACTCACACGCACACAGATGTGCGCTGTATATTACGTTGGAGAAACTTTAGTCCAATTATATTGATTATGTTTCACTAATGTGTGTTTTAATTAAAAAAAAACCAAACCAAACAAAACGAAACATTCGAAAAGAAGTTTTATTGGCAAATTTGATAGACTAACAAGTGCCAGTAAAACAATATGTAGACTTGTCATTTATTTATTTAACACAATATTATAATCAAATTTGGTAAACATATATTAAGAAATCAAACAACCATAAGATTGAATAAATATCATGAAATTTTATCTAGGCCTATTTGTTCTTATCTATTTTTTGAGACAGCGAAAATGAGGTATATATATATATATATATATATATATATATATATATATATATATATATATATATATATATATATATATATATATATATATATATATATATATATATATATATATATATATGTATGTATATATATATATATATATATATATATATATATATATATATATATATATATATATATAAAGCACTAAAAACCAACAACACTGTATATCCAAGTGTCGGATGTACTAAGTAGATACAAGGTCACGGATGGAAATTTATTTAAAGCACTAAAAATGACCAACAACTCGAACAATAAAAACTGTCAAATGTTCGGGACGACCTGTCCCTTCCTCAGGACAAAGAAAAAGTAAAGAAGTCATAAAAACAAAGGAAACAGAGAGGACTTGAGGAAAGGATAGGTCGTCCCGAAAACTTGACAATTTTTATTGTTCCTGTTGTTTGTCATTTTAGTGCTTTATATATATATATATATATATATATATATATATATATATATATATATATATATATATATATATATATATATATATATATATATATATATATATATATATATATATATACGGAAACAACAAAATAAAATTACTCTGTCATATATTACATATTTGTTTGATTTTCTTTCTTTTTTATTCAAATAAAGATCGACAGAAAATGTGTTAAAAGTAATTAATTATATGCACATCAGTTTTAAGGTATTTGATTCAATACATTTTTTAAAGAAAGCAATACTGAACATTTTAAAAAGAAAATTCATTAGGAATCCGGTCTTGTCCTTTTCATTCATTTATTTGAATATCTTCACCATTTTACAATTATGGGATATAGAGATTACAAGAAAATATCGGTGTTTAATATATGTACAAAATAATAGATAGATAAGGCAGGCGTGAAAAATAAAATGCAAAATTTTGTGCGTTGCTATAAATGTGAAGTATTGGAATTCTAGGCGAGGGAGCAAATTTAATTGATTTTCTTTATAAAGAACATAATTTTCTTATGATTGTGATAAAAATAATTTTTAAACGATGAGTCATTTGTAGTTTTTAGGCGTAACATTGGTTAATTAATAATAGTCATATAAATGAATTATAATTCACATTCATCGGCAAATACAGGGTTAAATATTTTCGGGGGGGGGGGGGGTGATCAAATGAAAACACGAACAGAGTTTTTGTTGTAAACGAGTGTTTTATTGATAATGTTCTTTTTAAATAAAAATTATTGCTTTTTTGGGGTGCGCCCGATGCACCCCTTAAAAATATATTGGAATCTTTTTTACACTTTCAACATTCTTCTTACGACTGTGATCAAGGTCATTTACAACAGCGATCACGGGCTCCTCGTGCCGTGACTGAAAACTTGTTCTGCAAGTATCTCTTGTCAATCATAGATAAGATGACAACCGACAATAACAATTGATTTTTAATATGTGAAATTAAACGGTTTTATTAGTATTTAATGGGTATAAATAAATATGCGGTCAACAAAAGTGACATATCGTACAAACAAAATTTTGATTTATATATCAATAAATGTTTTATATAATAAGAAGTATTTTGAAAACAATTTTTTAAAGAAAATTCACAAAATTGAACATTGTACAAACCAGGTTATTTTAAAAGATTGACGTGCTGGTGGTATATAAATAAACTAATTCTTGCGCTGTTATGCTAGTGGATGAATCGTTCAACACAGAGAACACTGCCTATGTGTGTAAACAAAGCGAGAAGTTTGCAGTAAAGAAGGTCGAAGTAAATCAACTACTAATCTCAAACGGAAGAAATGAGCTGTACCAGTAAAACAATTTTTAAATTAAAGTTCTTAATTCTTGTGCAAGCAATAAAAGATTTCCATTGCTTCAAGGGTTAGATTTTTTCAGGAGCGAACAACTTTGTGCTCCAATTTCTTTTTCCCTGTTAAAAACACTGTCTTCTACAATCTAGATCTGTTTCACAGCAAGCTTTAAATACAGCAATGGTCACTTAACACGCCTGTGATTCTTATGTCATTAATTGTCGGTACAACACTGGAAAGTGGTTTCCTTAAATATGTCCAGCTGTGTTTTGTTATCAGATGCTGGCCATGTTATAAAGTGAATCAATAGTACTGAAGGCAATAAATAAAAACAAAAACAAAAAAATTAAGTGGGTGTTAATGATACATTAAATGTGAAATGCATATTTATAAATGTGAAGAGATCAAGAAATCAAATTAATTCAAGAGTAGATAGATCATGTAAATAGTCAATATCATGCCATTGTGATAAATTTAAAGTCTTCAGTCGAAAAGCCGAAAAAATTGAAATTTTTTAACGTGCATACTTGTATCAATGAAAGTCAAGTAGTTGAATTTCAAGAAAGGCTAAACCGAGAGAAATGATATATAAAATGCGCATATCAATTAAAGTCAAGTAGTTATATTTCAAACGTGACTAAACCAAACGAAATGACATATAAAATGACCATTTCAGTTAAATGTCAAGAAGTTCAATTTCAAGAGTATAGCGTAATCAAGAGAATTAAAATATTTATTGTGCATATCAATGATCATAAAAGACAGGGGGTTGAATTCCAAGAGTGGCTAAATCAAGAGAATTGAAATATCAAATGTGCTTGTAAATTTTGAAAGACAAGGAGTTGAATTTCAATAGTAACTAAATCAAGAAAATTGAATCCCTGGTAGGTAGCACAAAACATTTTCAAAACATTTTATTGCAGTTATAAAAAGGTTTTTTCAAAACATTTCAGAGTAAACATTTTTAAAATGTTTTAAGAACATTTTTCTTTCCCATTGTAACATTATAAAAACATTTTTAAAATGTTTTCAAAAAGGTAAAAGTAAAATCTTTAAGGAACATTTCTAGAAAATGTTTTTGAAAAGTTTTAAAAATGATTCCAAAGGTATGTCTTGTTTGCATACATTAAACAGTTTCACATTACGTTATAAAACATGAAGTAAAACATTCCTCTTCTATATATATGAAACATAGTAATGTTACGTTTCTAAAACATTTCGAAGAAATGTTGTCAAAATGTTTTTAAACATTCTTAATATGGCTAATAAGTTAATATTTAAATGTTTCAGTGTTGGTCGTGAAAATGTTTTTAGAACATTTAACAATACGTTTTCTCCTCCTTCAACTGAAACATTTTATTTATAATTTATGCAACATTCTATAGAAACATTTTCAAAACGCTTTTAACACATTCATATCATTGTTAATATTAATGCATTTGTTTATTTTCAAAGTATGTTGTAAAAATGTTTTTAGAACATTGACTATAACGTTTATCCTTTTAAAGACTAAAACATTTTATTTAGCATTGATGCAATATTTTGTAATGTAATTTTCAAAATGTTTTAAAAATATTAATGACTAACCCAATTTTTCCCGAGAAAGGTTCTGAAAAAAATATATAGAATATCCAGTTTGAGATTAAATGATGAATTGTTTTTAAAATATATTCCGAAAACACTATCCCTATATCTTTCTTTCTTTTTTCAAAAATTCTTATTGAGTTGACAGACATGTAATCAATACAAAGTTCACTGAAAAAACTAAAGATACTTTAATTTAAAAAAGAAAGCAAAATAATAAGCAAACTGTTTACAATGATTAACGCAGCCTTATTTTTGACGATCTCGTCTGTTTGCATCATATTTCTTAAACTCCAAGGCAGCAGATTAGGAGTGGCCTCACTGGTCAGTTTCAGTGTCATGATAACCTTGTTATGCAATGCTCCTGCTGGGCGCGTGTAGTGGTTTGCAGCTTATCTAGGCCAGAATTTGAATTCTGGTAAACAGGATTTGCGCGTTTTCTTGTTGCTGATTTTCAAACAAGATTTTGCATCATATAAGCCAGAAGAATTAGTGCTGGATTATTAACACCTGCTTTGTGAGTATAATTTCATCAGAGATTTCAAAAGATAATTTTTAAAAGTGACTTTAAATTTCTATTACCAGTACATGATTGTATTTTCGTATGCATATGTGTAGCAGAAACAAAGCTTTACATGTATGTATTTGCATTGAATACTTTAGGCATAAACAAATATACCTCCTTGTCTTATGTTGATCATAACTCAAAATATCTTATTATTGAAACATGAAATCATATTTCAGTTAGATGACAGTTCCATCAACAGACTTGAATTTCATTCAAATTGCCACATTTGAAAGAACCGCCTCTAGCTGATAAAGGCAATTTTTTGTACGTAAATATCATTGCTCTTCAATAATATTATTGTGCTTTAGTTATGAACATGAAACAACTCTAATTCTTTTCATTAATGCAAATCGAAAATTTCCTGTGATTTTATGATAAAAAAAAATGTTCTTGTATATTTTCATTATTTAAAGATCTGATGTAGACGAACGACTTAAACACTA